TGTGCATGCACACGCGCTTACGTGTGTTGAGTTAACAGAATTTTCTTTATATATATTTTCATATGAGATAAATTTGTTACTCTACGGCTTGAATCTTGAAAATTCATTTGTGAGAAAGATCGATTTGTCTTTTTACGATTAATCAAACTTGCGCAGCTTATTCTAAAGTCGGAAAGGGTTTTTGTAAATAATAATTATTTACTTATACAAAAGCTCTAATTAACCCGTAGCTGTAGTGAGAAGAGATGGATTTTCAAAGGTATTTGCGTGTAATAGACGTGAATAAACGAAATAGAACTCGGCTCTCTGACTTCCAATTGTGAGCCGGTAATTATTAAACCACGATTACATACAGCGTGCGATGGGTAAATTGTCGCCATTTTATATTTTTCATTTCACGCATTTGTTTTGTTGGTTTGTTTTTTGATTTTTTTTCCTTCGATTGCACAGTAGAATCAGTTGGGTACAGTCTGTAAGAAAAAGAGCACCATGACGCAATTCACTCTGGCTGAAATTTGGAAACGGTGCGATGTACATTCGCACCAGAAGCTCTAATACGAATATTTCAGAGTGTTTGTGTATCAACCTGAGGAAATAATTCAGAAAGAGTTGGATGAGTCCAACGATGATTAAGAAAGTACTGCAGTTCGGAAAACTCACTCTGGCGAGTAAAAGAACTCTCGAATTTGTTGATGTGGGTATCAGTCTCAACATGGACGCCTACATCCTGTGCCTTGAGGAGGTAATGCTGCCCTGGGTCAAGAGAGTGGCTGATGGAAGACCATATATCTGGCAACAAGACTTTGCACCATGCCACACAAGCAGGAGATCCCAGTTACGACTGTCCGACAATTTCTGCGACTGCATCATCCCCTTACATCTGGCCACCTAATTCCCCAGACTGCACCCCATTGATTATTGGCGCAGTTGAGTGAGAGACCAACAAAACTCCTTGTAACACCAAAAATGAAGGCACGGATTATGACAGCATTCACCAAGGAGACAGTCCAGACGAGTTGCAGGAGATTCCGAAGTCGTCTGGAGGCCGTGGTTGAAGCCAATGGCGTTTTTATTGAATACATTTACTCTTTTATATTTCAAATGCAGTTGGAATGAGATGTCAGTGTTATTTTCATGTTTCTGTAATTTAGATGATAATTTATCCATATGAATTAATAAGCTGTATAGGCTTACAACACCTGATATTCCCAAGCGGTTACCCATCTACGTACTGACTAGTCTCGGCGTTGCTTATCTTAGGCAACCGTATCAGAACCGGTATTTCAACGTGAGAAAGAGAAAATTTTCCTCACCAAAACACATCAGTAAGAATATTTGATTTCATTGAAATTGCTTTTGGTGGCTTGCTTTTGCTCATCTTTATTTTTCTAAACCGAATTAAAAATTCGTTACTGTTCAAATAAATTCATTGAGAATTAATAAACAACAGACTTCACGTCTGTTTCTGTCATTGATTAACTCTACAAAATTCGTGATTTAAAATCTTTCGAAACATTCAAGTCTGATGTGATTATTCACGATCAGCAGTAAACTAGTGTATCTTGATGATTTTCAAAATAAGTTTCGTCTTCGTAAAATAAAGGACAGTAAGAGACGGACATACATACATAGGAGAATGTGATATAGACGCGTCCTATTCTAATCCTTGATATAACGTGTTCTTTTTTTCTGAGAAAGTCTGAGACCATGATGCTATTCTCTTAGAATGGGTTTAATTTTGTAAAGTTTGTTATTTGAATGGTAATTACGTAACTCTCGTCCCTCCAGTACAAACATACAATAAATAAATTGGTAGATATGAAGTCTGAAATAGATAGATAGATAGATAGATAGATAGATAGATAGATAGATAGATAGATAGATAGATAGATCTGAATCGACTAAGATATATAGATAGACAGACAGATAGATCTGAATCGACTAAGATAGATAGATATATAGATAGACAGACAGACAGACAGACAGATCTGAATCGACTAAGATAGATATATAGATAGATAGACAGACAGACAGATAGATCTGAATCGACTAAGATAGATTGATAGATAGACAGACAGACAGATCTGAATCGACTAACATAGATAGATAGATAGATAGACAGATCTGAATCGACTAAGATAGATAGATATGAAGAAATGGAAAATGACAGATGTTTTATACATATATATATATATGTGTGTGTGTGTGTGTGTCTGTGTGTGTGTATACATGTATGTATATGTATACATCGCAGCTTAGAGAGAAAGCACGATGGGGTAAGAACAAAGCCATACAATTTACTTTTTGCGTCGGTGGTGTCTGTCTTCATCAAATTTTGCTTTGATAAGAAAATCCAAAAATGCTATACATGTGTTGGTTTATTTATTTGTTCAATTCTCTCCTTACGTATGCCGAGGTGAGTAGGCAGGCTGTCTAAATCCACTTGCGTCAAAAGTACTTTCAGATAAGTTGCGAAAATATCTCTTTGTTTTGTTATGTCTTACAAATTCTATTGTATTTCAGCTTGTGTCATTTTCTGATAGACTATTTTCGTGTTTATGCATTTCTTGGGATCGTAATAGATTCTTCTTTCATTTATTTCATTATAAATTTTCATAATTGGATCTCAGCATCCAGTGATAAACATCAATCTTAATATATACACTTCTCAGATACACAGACGCATATGTACGCACACATGCAAGCATTAGATAGATAGATAGATAGATAGATAGATAGATAGATAATGAACAAAATGAGATAGATAGATAGATAGATAGATAGATAGATAGATAGATAGATAGATAGATAGATAGATAGATAGATAGATAGATAATGAACAAAATTAGATAGATAGATAGATAGATAATGAACAAAATGAGATAGATAGATAGATAGATATGTCATGATATAATAGAGTACGTTTATATTTGTTGAGGTAATGTCATGTATGGGCGGCAGTTATCGAAGGTTTACCTGCGTTCCGTGTTCAAATGAAGGTCGATTTTCACACAAATATGCTTCGCAAAGACAGAAAGCAATTTTTATCGCCTATAACCATGAGTGAAATATCAGGGCAGACTGGCTTCTTTTCTCTTGGTTGTCAACCAGTCTAGGAGAAGGACAACTCAATTCCAAACTGGTTCACGCGCGAACTGGCAACTCTGCCTCGTATAAAGTTACAGAAATAAGTGTAATGTGGCGATTTCTCTACAATTCATATGCAGAGTCTAATAACACTAAATTAAATGGGAGATGTGTGCGTTTTCAGCTAATTGCCAAAATCTGTTTATCTGTGTGTAGGAGAGACTGAATCTTGTGTAAATGCTGCTCGTTCAGTGGCTAAAATCTGTCTATATCTCTGATCTTACGTATTATGATTATTTGCATTATTTACATTATTCGGACTGTTATCCTCATCTTCATTCTCATATTCACAACATTTCGGCCGTTGTACACTCCGGTGTTTATTTCCTCTACCGGGTTAGATTGTTCTTGTTCCACGTGTCATACCTCTTCTGGATGTCTCAGTTATTTCCCTTTAACTCAACTCTCCAAGTTGTTGGTTCACTACTGTTGTAGCCTGATATTTAACTCACAACTCTTTGAGTGTAGTCACTGGATCTAACCAACGCTTTGACTTTGTGGGCATCTGTGGAACTAGAAAAATCTACTGTGGTCGCCGAAATAAAAGGTTCGGTTCGAAATTCCAATCACCTGAAGAAGGCCGGACCGTACAATGGCTGAAACGTTGTTAAAGTGGCAATGAAGATGAGGATAACGGTTCGAATAATGTAAATAATATAAGTATTCAATGACTAAGTCTGACATTATTGCATATTTGTGATGAGTCATTCCGTCAAACAATCTGACGATGAAACAGGAAAAAATGAATTCAGGCTTTTTCAAAAGTGTAAAGTAAATGTAAACAAACTGAAGTATACATTTGATAACCTTTTCGCCATACCGTACTTCTGTAAAACTATGGTTAACAATCTAATTTCTAAGAAAAATTGCTTTTTTAATGAGTTCAATCCTAGCTGGAGGCTTCACTGTAATTTATGATTCACGCCTGGAAATAGCAATGTCAATAAGGAAACATTGTTCTAAAGGTCCCTGTTAATAACCAATAATTTATCCACCATAACACAATGCTATCAGTAGGCTGTCTCAACTTAAAAAAAAAGACTCATGTGATCATAATAAAATATCCACTAGAACTTGTCACATAAATGTCCATTTCAACTGTAACAAAAATATCCCCCCTTCAACAACTGAGTGAAACCGATGTCCTCCATTACAAACATATAACCAAAAACGAGTAAGACAGAAGAAAAAGAAAGAAAAATAAAACAATTACAATATAGACAAAAACAGAGAAATCTTATCATAAGATGAGGAAAAAAAAAAAAAAATATATATATATATATATATATATATATATATATATATATATATATATATGTTAGACTCTTCGGTAAATCGAATTGAGTTCTCTCAGTCACTGGGTGTTTATCTAAAAATAAATACACTTAAAATTCACCTTCATCCTTGCCATGCGCCAACGGCTTAGTGGTAGAATCCCCGACTGACGCCAATTCAATTCGGGTTTCGATCCTAGCTAGAGGCAACTGGATGTCTAGCCACACTGATGAGCTGTGATACAGCGAAACAGTCTGTCTGTGGATGACAATATATATATACACACACACACAAAGGACAGATTGTAACTGCTCAAGCGCCACGCTCCCGCGATCTTCAGGTGTTCTAGTCGCCTGAATATCACAAGAGCGCAAAACGTGAGTAGCGATTCGATTTGTCTTTCTTTGAGTGATGAGATTAAATATATATTTTTTCTAGACAGCATATGCGATGAACAGTTTCATTTAATGCGTAGATAAGATTCTTGCCTTTTGGTCTGGTCTTTCTCACTCGTTTATCCGAGATTTTTCTTCTTTTTTTGTCTAAGATATTAGGTCGTCTGGCAAGTTTTCTGTTGGCTACACCAGCAGTGTTCTCCATTTTAGTGTATAGATAGATAGATAGATAGATAGATAGATAATATTAGTGGTCAATATATCCAAGAAGATAGAATCCAGGTAGAGCTCAATGTCCAGGACAGAGCAAGAATGTAATCACGATCCAATGTAATAAATTATAACCATGGAATATAAGTGTTTGAGCCTTTTATATTATATTACACACGTACACACACACACACATATATATATATATATATATATATATATATATATATATATATATATATATATATATATATATATATAGGAGAATAAGAATATGAATAATAAAAAAGCCAATGAAGAAGGTGAAATAAAAAAGAAACAATAAATAAATAAATAAAATCGGAGGAGAAAAACAGATAATAAAATATTCAAACGAGATAAACACTAATAATCTTTTCCCTGTGTTAAGTAGCAACCAAAGAGATGACGTTGATATTCTGAAGAGGAACACGCGGTCATATGATGGGATATAAAGCACGAGTCTTTTTGAACTGGCTGGTCGTCATATGACAAATACGTGAAAGCGTCCTTGATGCTTACATAAACACAATGGTAGAATCCAAAACGGTATAAGCATTGCCATTAAAGCAACAGTACGAAGGACTGGTTAACAGATAGATAGATAGATAGATAGATAGATAGATAGATAGATAGATAGATACTACATACCGTAGAAAAACACTGACAATATACATATATATATATATATATATATATATATATATATATATATATATATATATATACATAGAGTTAATAGTGTACAATAGATAAAGAGCAGATTGGCATAGATAGATAGATAGATAGATAGATAGATAGATAGATAGATAGATAGATAGATAATAGATATACAATAGATAAAGAGCAGACTAGCGTAGATAGATAGATAGATAGAAAGTACCTACCGTAGAAAAAGCACTGACAATAATATATATATATATATATATATATATATATATATATATAGAGAGAGAGAGAGAGAGAGAGAGAGAGAGAGAAGAAGGGATAGAATTTGAAATAAATAGCTAAATAAATATCAAATATTATAATTGCCTGTTTGCACGCTTAACCCTTTATAGCATCAAACATTTTCACTTGAGGGTATCTTCCCTCTCTAAAGATCAGGAAAGCGTCATATTTTTTTGATAAAACAATGTCATTATTAATCAGTGTTCAACTAATATTTTTTTCATTTTAACTTCTCTTGCTTATTTATTGCAACTTCCTCGCTGTCATTCTCAATAACATGAGAGACATGTTGCATTGGGTTATCCATCGCCTAAATGCACTCTTCTTTGTCAAACCTCATGGAATATCAATGACGTCATTTTCTTATCTCTTTTGGTCTTTGACTGTATCAGAGAAGATAAAAATAAAGAAATCTTTTAGCAGATTAAATTTTTTATTCGCGAATGTTGTCATGTTTGCTCTTTATAGAGACTTTACTATAAATAATTAACGTGACTGCTAAAGAATTCTTGCAGAATGATGCTTTAGTCTCGGGCGGACTGAGGTTGATAATGATGAAATAAAAATGAAACATGAGTGGCAAAAGTTAACATCGTCAGAATATCCAAATCATTTAAACCCATGTTGATCGCTTAAAGTAGTTTTGTTTTGTTGTGCTTTACTGCACATCAACCTCAATGGGTTATTTAATGCCGACAACTTTTTTTTTTCCGGTAATATTTTCTTTTCTCAAAAATCTATTTCTGGTAATATTTTTTTTCCTCAAAAATGTATAGCTGGTAATATTATTTTAAAACATGTGTTGCTGGTAATATTTTTTTTTCAAAAATGTATTGCTGGTAATATTTTTTTCCAAAAATATATTGCTGATAATAGGTTTTTTGTTCTTCAAAAAATTATTTCTGATATTAAAACCTATTTTTACACTTTTATAATGCTTTTTACCTCATTTAAGGGGTTAACTATTTGTCCATAGCTGGGACCCTAACAGGTGCTACTACCCTGGGTCAGGGTGGACCTGGGATCACCAGCAATTAAGAGGTGGTTCCATGCTCCGTAAAACCTTCTGATCAGAGGCCTTGCTGTTGGACGCAGTTTAACGTCATACCCAGGACGGCTTAAAGTGGTGGCTTCAAATTCAATTAAACGAAATTCAAAACTGATGGACTTCATTTATGTCTGCCATTTTCTACTTAAACATAATGAAAATATTATTTTAAAAATACGAGTTCTAATGGAATGTGAATACATTATAATGGGGGTTGTAAATGATAATGTCCAAGTTAAATGAACCACAACGTCTACTACGCAAAGGCTGGTATTCATCTAAATCGTGGGTCGTCAAACAGGGCCCGAGAGTCTCCCTGTGAGTCGGTGAGAAGTTCTGGGGAAGGAAGTCGATGATAGTGAAGGGGTTGATTTATGTAATTAACCTAAAGACATCATAATACATTGGAAGAAAAATGTGTTTTAAATAAAATGTATATTGAATACTTAAAAAAAAAAACGTATTTTATTTTTAATTAATGAATTACTAAACATTTCAGGCTTTTAATATTTCTCATTCACGACTCATCAACCAGCGAACATTTAAAAGATGACAATGAAAGGGTTATAAACCAGTGTAAATCTTTGAACAAGTTTTGTAAACTTTCCAACCACGTTTTTATCGGCGGTCGGGTGTGTTACTTGTCCGATTGTCTTTGTTTTTTCTCCATAATTCCAAATGTGGCAAGCAAAGTGTAAAAACGACTTTAGGATAAGGATGGAAAGTAAATCCAATTAGAGCTGATTGTAAATTCACATTTGTTTGCTTGGCGTTTAATCCTGATTGCTTCAGGAAGACGAGCGATCGATATTTCATTTTTTGACTTTATTGAAACAAAGCACTCAACCTTGAGGTTATTTTCGTAAACCCAGATCCAAGCTTCTCACAATATTCGATTTTACCAACTTCATAGTAAATAAATGCTTAACAGAAGAAAAACGAATAAAGTTTCAGAATGTACGCAGACATAAAAACGTAAGCTAGTTTATTTCAAACACAATCAAGTCTCACAGATAATTTGTTTCATATTTTGTAATTGTTAAATAAAATGAACAACAATATCCTGAAATGAATTGCGGCTATATATATATATATATATATATATATATATATATATATATATATATATATATATATATAGAGAGAGAGAGAGAGAGAGAGAGAGAGAGAGAGAGAGAGAACAGGTAATCGATCCGTTGGTATATAATCCGGGTGGACCCTAGTAATATTAATTATTAAAACTGATCCACGATGTATTTATTATAACAGGGCATATGTATTTTTACAGCAAAAAAAAACAAAAATTACCTCAACACAGAGAGTCTATTTCAAGCCGTTCTGTACACGGCATTCATCATCCCCTAAGTATCTGTCTCGGAGCATTGTTTTAAATCTATTTTCAATGCCAGTCCTCCTCTGACAGACACATTTTTAATGAGAGTGGGTTTGTGTTAGCGATTGGTGTGACCGCTAGATATCTTATACCGGGGGAAGCGGTGTGGGGTTTGAGTTTATTTATGGCCAGGACCTTTTGTTGTTTGAAGTTTAACATCAGTTCCTACTATGTGGTGTTTCTTATAAAAGCCTATGAGTATGTTTTTCTGGGATTCACAGAAAATAGTTTTTGTACTACATGTGCCCAATATTATTAATAAGCGATGTGGGATTTAAACATAAGCCCATTAAGATTAATGTAAATTAATTGAGTTATAGATTTATAGATTGTGGGTAATACCAGAGAACACAATGGAATAAATTATGCTGCCCAACACACTTATATATATCTTCATACATATATGTACATTTACATGTTCATGCATATATGCCACTATATTTACGCATACACCACCACATATATGACATGTATTCTGATGTAATTTGGAATTTATTTCTATGTCTACATTTCGTAATTACTTCTCTCCGTTGATTTAATAGTTTGCATTTATCTTTATATTTTATTATCCTGATTTTTTCTTCTAAATATAGTTTCCACCTATCCCTAAAACTATTGGGTGTGTTGAAGAAACCTAGAATTTTCCAATTTATTTGAGGATTTAGACCCTTTTCCTTCAATTCCCAAATTTTTTTCGAAAGGGCTGTTTAAATTTTAAAATTAAAACAGCAAACAAAAGAAAACTTTTGTTATATATATATATATATATATATATATATATATATATATATATATATATATATATATATAGTTTATGCGGATGCGTGGGGTAGATAATGGTTGACCCTAGACTTGAACAAGTCAAGATTGTAATGCTCGGAGAAGCATCCTCTTTGAAGTCGGAACCACATAGTAACACTTCATGAGAAGAAGCTGTTCGATTGGAATAATACAAAAGGGAATGAGAGTGTTTAGTTAAAATATCCGTGACATCGTGGATTTTAGCCTTGAATGCTATAAGCGTGGAATGTTGTTCGTCTGAAAACATTCGTCTGTGGGAAAGGGGGGGTTGTAGGGCGGAAAATAATTTACTACTCACAAAGACGGGGAGACACTTTTACAATCTATCGAAACTGGAAAAGGAAGACTGGGCAGCGCCTAGTCATATATGGGAGTACTACCCCATTTCCCACCTGATCTGGTAAATGAAGAGGATGGCATGAAGAGTCCTGCACTTACTGGTGCTGTACAGGCAGCCGGGCAGTTTTTATGTGAACAGAATTTTATATGTAGATAGATAGATAGATAGATAGATAGATAGATATGAAGTCATAAAGATAGCGAGCTAGCTAGCTAGCTAGCTAGATAGCTTTATGACTTCATATCTAGATAGATATGAACAGTCATAAAGATAGATAGATAGATAGATAGATAGATAGATAGATAGATATGAACAGTCTGCGACAGATAGATAGATAGATAGATAGATAGATAGATAGATAGATGAATGAATATAAACAGTCTGCGATAGATAGATAGATAGATAGATAGATATAAACAGTCTGCGATAGATATAGATAGATAGATAGATAGATAGATAGATAGATATAAACAGTCTGCGATAGATAGATAGATAGATAGATAGATATAAACAGTCTGCGATAGATAGATAGATAGATAGATAGATAGATAGATAGATAGATAGATAGATAGATAGATATAAACAGTCTGCGATAGATAGATAGATAGATAGATAGATAGATAGATAGATAGATAGATAGATATAAACAGTCTGCGATAGATAGATAGATAGATAGATAGATAGATAGATATAAACAGTCTGCGATAGATAGATAGATAGATAGATAGATATAAACAGTCTGCGATAGATAGATAGATAGATAGATAGATAGATATAAACAGTCTGCGATAGATAGATAGATAGATAGATATAAACAGTCTGCGATAGATAGATAGATAGATAGATAGATAGATAGATAGATAGATAGATAGATAGATAGATAGATAGATAAACAGTCTGCGATAGATAGATAGATATAAACAGTCTGCGATAGATAGATAGATAGATAGATAGATAGATAGATAGATAGATAGATAGAAAGAATGGTGTGCGTACCACTCTATTTCCACCGTTTATAGTAACCAAGATGAAAACTTTATATTCAGAAGACAGGTATTATTATTGTTATTATTATTATTATTATTATTATTATTATTATTGATATGTCTATGTCCGTAATCTGACAAGCAAAGAAAAATGGTTGTTCTTCTGCTGCCTGATGGATAGATGAGGGGAGACATTGGGTAGAAGGGAGTAGTGTGAGAAGCCTTATTTTAAATAAGGCGCTGCCCAAAAAGTGAAATGGAAGAGACGAAGTAGGGAGGGTGATGATAAATCCTGCCTATAGAGGATTTCAAATTTCTCAAGAAAGAATTGCAGCCAAATGAATCGGTTTTAGAGATAAGTTGGAATGGCAGCAGTCGTCAAAATTTGATGCCGAGAAAAGGTTATTGTTGTTTCATAGAAGCCGTCCTAACTGTAGATGGTTATGTATGTATACCTGTATCGTTTCCGACGAATACTTACGTACACCTAGAAAGAAAGAAAAGAAAAGAAAGAAAGAAAGAAAGAAAGAAAGAATCCGCAAACAATTCCGTAGATGATTCAGTGATTGATTGAAGGTTGATTGGAAAGTGTGTAGGTGTGGATATACCGTATATAAAAAATATATTTACTCATACATACATACATACACACTCCATATATATATATATATATATATATATATATATATATATATATATATATATATATATATATATATATTATAAAAACTAGATATATAGATAAAATGTATCACAATTTTAAGCTGCTGATTGTATTGGCTGTCAGTTGGTTAGGCAGCTTCAATCTCCAGAGACCAGAGCTGAAACTCAGCCTTCAATGCCAAGCCTTTGTATAACTTTAACCACTAAGGAGCATTTACCCTACCAAGTATAGAAGAGACAAAAAGAGAGGTAAAGTGTTTTGGTTTATACAGAGAGAGAGAGAGAGAGAAGAAAAGGCTTAGACGAGAAAACGCACATACACGTGCACACACATAGGTGAGTGGAGAGAGAGAGAGAGAGAGATTCAGTTAGATAAAGAGAAAATTAAAACACTTCAAACGTGAATACTATGCATGAATAGAAATAGCAACATGAAGTAATATTTTATAAATAAATAAGAGAAAACAAAGATAGATAGATAGATAGAAATGGGCAAACTGAGATAGATAGATATAGATAGATAGATAGATAGATAGATAGATAGATAGATAGATGAAGTAAATAAAGATGGAGAAGTAAAACTTGCAACATTGCAGCGACCTTTGAAACTTTCTTGTTATGCATAAATAGGCTTATTAATATCTTAATATGATTTATATTATTTTCAATTACAGCCTCAACCTGACTGCGAAAAGTTACACAAATCCTCACCAGTAAGCCCTCAGATATCATGGGCGACGACTCTTTGATCGCAGCTTTGTGTGTATAGATTTGGGATCGAGGTCTTATTGGTCTACTCCAAAATGACCCAAATGACGTCATCGAGCGAGTTCAGATCCGAGTTTACGGAAGTTCAGAAGACCGCTGGTCAGAAATCAGCAAACGTAGCTTGGCAGAACTTATGTGCTTTCTAGGCTGTGGCAGGAAGTACCGTTTGGGGTCTGCACCTTACCCTCTGAGTATTTGACCTTGAATTATAGCAGAACATGTCACCCCAAGAGCTTATAATAGGCACCATCATCCACCATTATAAAAAGCTTCTAGAATAATGTGATGACTTTTTAATGTTTCAATCCACATCTTTTAAGGCTATTACTAGAGCGGGGTTTTGGGCACCTCGATGTGGTGTAATGCTTAGTAAGCTTGTCTTGCTAGATCAATTACGACTGAGTAGTGAGTTCGATCCTCACAGGGTGCTTCTTAAATTCAGTCTTATGCAACAGCTAAGCTATGCTTAGTAAATCACTACCAAGGCAGGATTTTGATCCTTAATGTACCCTTGACATCTCCTGCGGACCTCGCGGAACAACATAATTTCAATAATGTCTCCTCTGTAGATCTTCTCATCAGATAATATTTTAAGAGTGAACCTATGATTTTTAAGGGAGGTATTTGGCTCCTTGATCCAGTTAGATCGTCCCTTGGTCTCCTCGTATATGATTTAAGATCTAAGTCATCAGACATTGTTTTAGCTTAGTAGATATCATGGGCATGGGTGTTAATGGGTCGTTTGGGGGTTTTTTTAGGCGGTAAAGAAGTCCTGATTTTTCTTCTGGTTGACCCGGCCACTGCTCGCTATTCTCTGGATCCAGTTGCTTATTTCTACGGTCTTCTTGATATTGTAGGCAAGAAGAAAGGATTCAGATAATGCTTTTAGAGTAAGTCGCATTAATTTCTAATAGTATGCATTATTTGGTGTAATGATAGTTTTATATATTTAAATATAGTTTTAGTAAGTTTCACCAAATACAAGGCTCAAGAGCCACTCATGGTAGAAGGTTACCAAAAGAAGGTGAATGATATGAATCTAAGAGTAGGTAGAGAGAAATGAAGATTTTATGGATAAGGAGGATAGATAGAGATTTATGTTTGAGATTAAATTATAATGTTTTTGGAAGCGCCCACACAAGAGTATGTTCCGTAATTTAGATTTAGTAGTTCTTGGGAAAAAGTTGTCTGGGTGGAACTTCCTCCTTACAAATGGAATACGGGGGAATGTAAGGGATTCGACTTGGCGGACGTAGCATATTGAGTCCTAGTTATAGATTTCTAGGCCCGTGGCACTGAAGAGTCATTGATCCTCTAATTGCTGGGCATAAATTGTAGTCTAAATTGTAATTATAAATGGTAATATTATAAGAAAACTTTCCTCATTCATTGACCGAACATAATTACGAAAATCTTGACCAGTGCTGCTGTCGGCTGAAATTTATAAAATCTTTCTCTTTTTTAGTTTTTATCAAATCTAGTATCTGTTGTCACCCTTTCCATTATTGACGGGGTATTCTTCTTTCTAAAATTGTATTTAAAGTAATGTGGGACGTCAATATCTTGGTTATGCCATTAGTATTACTGTGAGTTACACGTGATATCCATTTTAGTTGTTGCTGCTGTTGAAAGTCTTCAGATGTAAGATATTGCCGATTAAGTTTTTTATATTAGATCGATGCATTCGGAGCTAAGATGGCGACATTTAATGGATTAGAAGAGGAAAGATCTGTTGATGTGGTTATATGCTGCTGAGGAGTTGAAATACCAAATATGCAGAGATGTTATAGGAAAAATAAATAATTTATAAATAGAGCGAAGGTTGTGATTGATATGAAAAGATTTGAGTTTGAAATCTATCCTTAGTGAGATATCAAAAGAAAACATAAATCCTTGTGTTTGTGTTTAAGTATGTGTGTGCGCGCGTGCGTACGTGTGTGTGTGTGTGTGTGTGTGTTTATAACCTAATGAGTCTTGTTGGTCGTTTACTCGTCCTTTTCTCTCTTTCTCCCCTTCTCTCCTTCTTTTCCTCTCTCTTTCTTTTACAGTCTCTGGTTGTCTTTACCATACGTGGCAGACTTTTCAAATCATGCGACCACAACAATCTTAAAAATAATAAATCCACAATGATAATAATAATAATAATAATAATAAATAAATAAATAAATAATAATAAATCCAACATTTCTTGTCAGGATAAAAAGATTTTTGCAAATATTAACCACGAATATTTTTTCTAACAACTTCATTGTTTGTCATAAAAAAAAACTAGCTTACATCTCGTGCTTCTTGATTGAAGTGTAGACCACTTATTTTTTTTTCTTTACACGTGTAGATACCAATTCCTTAAAATGAACCAATTAAATTAGATCAAAAATAGAAATGTCCCCCCATATCAAGTAAAAATGTACTTCCCATATATATTTTTCTTCTCGTTCTGGCAATAATCTTGCCTATGCAATGGGAGACATAGAAGACAAATTAATTTCCATGAAAGCCAAAATTCCTCAAAGCGAAAATGGTTGGTAGATGATTTTACTAAATTTCACTTGGTCCAGTAAAAAGCCACATTTTTTTAGCATTAACGTCTATCAAATGTATTTTTGTTTCTAGGAACTCCTTGATGATTTTAAGCCCATATAAGGCTCTACATATTTTGGAAATTTTCGGGTGCTGATCGTCGAGTTCTTTTCTAACTTTTACCATTTTACAATATCATAACCGAGAGATTTTATTTTTCTTCTTTTTATGTATCATCTTCTGCTTCATACAATACGTGGGAGATCACGACTTTCCACAACTTAGCGTCGCTTTTTGCTCTAAGTAACTCTTGCCCTTTTCCACTCATCTTTATTTTTGATCTGTTATCTATTTACGTAGACTCGTTAAGTAGTTTATCCACTCTTTTCTTCTATGTCTTTTATCATCAGTATGCTTACTCTGTGAGTGTTTACATCAAAAAACCTTCTTTCTTCATCATATATCCCAAAACTTTCAGTTATATCAATTTTGATTATTAGAAGTAATTTCTCTATCGTTCTTCATTTCCACATTTCTTCCGCTTGGAGTTTTCTCTTCATCGGAAAGGAAATTGTCGAGCATTCACTGGGATATAAGCTATTAGATAATATATAGCAGTTAAGAACACATTTCTTTGTTTATAATGACAATGTCATGTCTCTTAATATTTTATTTTGTTTCTCAAATGTATTATTCGATATTCCTATTCGTTTCGTTTTTTGTGTTACACATTCTATCGTTTCTTACTACCATCTCCGCTTGATTTTTACATTCCCGATATGTAACTCTAAACTTGTCTCTTTTGCTTAAAACCATTTGCATTCAACCTTCTTATAGCCAATAACCATTCCTTTCTCTTTGTTGCTCTTTCTTTACATTGTCTAAGAAATTTAGTCCTCTTAGAATCGTCTATCTGTAGAGGTTAGTAACAATCATAAAAAAAATCATCCATATCATACTCATTCTTTATTTTCTTCTTTATTTTTATGTCTTTACTAAACACGTTCTATTCGCATGCTATCTTTCTGTTCCCGGTAAAGTTTAGAGATTACTTGAATATTTGTATTGGGTTGGGAAATAAGTCGTGAGCGTTTTTCAAAATGTTTTATTGTCATGGTCTTACAATGTTAAATTACATAAAATTAGTCAAGAATATAATCTCTGTTGTTGTTGATAACTTTTTACTATCGGTTACAAAGTTTTTCTATTCCTTGACGATAAAAAGCTTCTGGTTTTGAGCTGAGAAATTCGTCCAATCAAACGCTCAATTCAACATTAGTATTGAACGTTACACCACGTAAGACATGAAAAAGAGATCGAAAAAGATGAAAATCTGATGGTGCCAAACCTGGCGAGTACGAAGGGTGAGGCACCCACATTCTTGGGTAACGGTTTTGTTCATATTGACGATGTGAGGACAGGCGTTGTCGTGTTGAAGAAGAACACTGTCGCCGATTCAGTCTTTTTTGCTGAATTGCTGCCCGGAGGGGGTTCAGTTGTTGAACATAGAACTCGGCATTTACCGTTTGGTTTCGCTCAAGCAATTCATAATGAATTATGCTTTCCCAATCTCACCATACACACAATATGGTCTTTCGAGGATGAGGGTCTTGTTTTGCTCGAGGTGTCGCTTGCTTATTGGGGCTGAGTCATTCTTTACGCTGCTTCATATTGACGTAAAGACACCATTTTTCATCGCCTGTGACAATGCGATAAAAGGAAACATCGTTTATGAGCGAATGTTGAGCGATGCCGACCCAGCAAACCGGCTGCATTTGCTGCGCGCTCGTGTTTATTCAAGGCAAAACTAAAGGGAAATGTTTTTGCTTTCATATTTACATTATATCCAATATTTAAAAATAGAGACGCTTTTGCGTAAGCCTCTTTCTGGCTAATGTTAACTTCCTTTATACTAACAGTTTTTTTTTTTGTTCTGTTGACATGGGAAAAATAAAAATAAAACTGTTAGTATAGTGATTCTCCAAGCGTAGCTTAAATGTGGCCGAAAGTAGGGGACACCCAGTGAGGATCGAACTCACTCGTAAGTGTTCTAGCGAGACAAGCTTTCGAACCATTACACTGCCCCAAGGTAACCCTATAAAACTGTTAGTATAAAGGCTATTAACATTAGCCAGAAAGAGGCTTACGCAAAAGTGTCTCTCTCATTTTAATTTTACCTTGATAAAGTCGGAAGACTAAACGCGTCACCAAAATTAAGATTTTTTGCTATTGTTTTTCTTATACCAATTTGTCTTATCCACAGAAGTGATCTGGGAATTTCACTATAAGTATATTTCTACTAA